TGTACTTCTCCACCTAACACTTGTCTCCTCTTCTCAACACAATTTTACTCTCACCAACTTAAATGTCTTTATATCCATGTAACATGGTTGACCTCACTTCTCCCTATTATTAGATATTTGGGTTATATCTCATTTTTCACTCTTATAAATAGTGCTGCTATGAATGTCTTTGTAAAAAAATGCTTCTTCTTTTGGATTATTCCCTTGGGAATATCTCCAAAGAGGGATTAAAAGGTCAAAGAGCATGAAGTATTTTATAGCTCTTGTTTTATATTGCTAGAATGCTTTCTAGAAAGATCCAATCTTTGGGTTGGAAAGACCTTAAAGGTCATCTAGTTCAAATTCCCCTCCTCCCGAATGCTTGAATCTCCTCTACAATATATGATGCCACCAGCAATGTATAAGCATTTCTATTTACCAGTAGCTCTGCCAGTATTGGGTTTTGCCATTTTTATTTATTTTCACTAATTTAAAAGGTGTGTATAGCTGTTCTTGGAAAGTTGTTTTATTTCATTAATTGCTAGCAAGGCTGAGCACTTTTCCATGTGATAATTTACTAGTTGTATTTCCTTGTGTGTAAAATGTCCATCCATTTCTTATGACCACTTGTTAAGAGGAATTGATCTCATATATTTGTACCAGAACTGTATTTTTATGTTGTATTGTATAGTTTGCTCTCCTGTCCCTATCCTTAAAACTGAATGGTGCCAATAATTTGATACTAATGACTATAAAAAAAGTAATGCCTCATTTACTAGCATTGTTGTAAAATGAGGTATGTAAGCAAATATTCAGATTAACATAAGAATTAACCCTTTAAGTGCTGAATCTTTAAAATTTTAATATTTTTTTGAGGGAAATCTTTCTAAGATGTATTCTGCACTTCCCTGCCTTAGTAAACAAAGTATCCTGGAGAGTATTTAACCTTTTCTTGATGAGTCATGGTCATCATTATAAACATCAGCCCCTTTTGTACCTTGGTATGGCACAGTGATGTCATCAGGAACTGTTAAAATGTGTAGGGTTTGGCTTGGCCTTTTATAGGATATTATGCTCTTCTCCGTGATGGTTTTTTACTGTTGTCTGCTCTATCAGCGGGGCTATCCAGGGCAGTTGTAGTGTTTGGGGCCTTTTGCCCTCACATCCCCCCCACTATACTTTTAAAACAGCCTTAGCTGTTCTTTATCTTGTGCACATGATACAAAATGTGTTCCTGTACACTATGGGGCTGTCACCTCTTGCCAACCCAGCACCCTCTTCCTTGTCTAACCTGCTCTTTGAGGCTTCTGCTCTCCACTTCCTGCTTTCTGATGGAAACCTCCAAGGCAAAGCTGAAGGTTTCTCAAGGAAGCCAGGGCACCAAGTATTTCATATGTGTCATGTTTGCTTGGCTTCCCAGGAGGGGTGCATGGGCTTTTTGGCCAATGCTTCCAGGAAGCTCTAAGCCTCCTGCTGCTTCCCCACTTTCCCCTGATTTCACAGATGATTCCCAAGGTTGATGTCATTGGAAGTCTGGCCTCAAACACGTTGGCTGTTACTGTATTTGAAAACCCAGTACCTTTGGCAGCTCGTCTCTAAGCAGTAAAATCCAGAGGATTCCATGGTTTCAGCAATTGTCCTGGTTATTTGCCTACTAAAGTGTATGATGGGTGCTTGGCATTGTGACCTGAGAAGATAAAAAAATTGTATGGGGTGGATTTGTAGGGACTCAGATGAATTGATACAATTGTTTCACCTTTTAAAATATATTTAAAACAAAAACAACAGCAACATACATACAGTCACACAATATATACCTTATGTCCAGGGGGGAAAAATCAGCTAGTTGACATAATCATTCCAGAGCTAGGGCTCTAAACTAGGCCAGACTCCTGCTGGGCATGGAAGGTTGCTGCCAGGAGTCTGGGAATCCTGCAGCCCATAGGGTATATGGATTATAGACTGTAAACTGCACAGGAGATTCTTAGGTTTGAAAAGTTTGAGGTCCTGGAGCATTTGGAGGATCTCACCTGTATGCACTCAGAATTTTATACTCCCCCAATAGCACAGGAATATTCTGATATCATATTTATCTTTCTTTCACCATCTCAAAGATCACAGCTTTTTTAAAAAAAAAATCAAATAAAATTCACCATTGTAACCATTTTAAAGTGTACAATTTAGTGGTTTTTATTGTATTCATCATGGTGTGCAAACAATACCACTATCTAATTCCAGAATATTTCCATTACACCAAAAAGAAACCCTGTTATCTGTTAGCAGTCACTCCCAATTCCCCACCTCTACCCCTGGAACCCCTGGCAACTACTAATCTACTTTCTGTCTATGGATTTCCTTATTCTAGACATTTCATATAAATGGAATCATACAATATATAGTCTTTTGTGACTGGCTTCTTTCACTTAACATAATGTTTTCCCGGTTCATCCATGTTGCAGCATGTATCAGAACATCATTCCTTTTTATGGCTGAATACTGTCTCATTATATGGATATACCATGCTTGGTTTATCTATCCATCAGTTGATAGATACTCGAGTTGCTTCTACTTTTCAGCTATTATGAATAATATTGTTATGAACATTCGTGTACAGGTTTTTGTGTGAACATATATTTTTAATTCTCTGGGAATTGCTGGGTCACGTGGCAACTCTGTGTTTAACTTTCTGAGGAAATGCCATAATCACAGCTTTTATTTCTTTTGAAATCCAAAGTGAAAAATTATATATTCTAGGCAGTCAGAAGCATGGGCAAATCTGTTACTGGTCAGATACAAAGATACAGCACTTATTTGGGCAAGTTTTTATAACAAAAAAAAAGTTGTTTTAGAGAAATGGCTTTGATGAGGAGAGAAAATAAAGGTGCTGTCTTTCTTTTAAAAATGAAACTGAAATTAAACTCTGCTTCATCTCTAAGTTCTTGTTTGAATAGCCAGCTCTTGTTCAGCCAGTGGTCTCAGAATGTTCAAAGTTCTTCCCCAGAAAATGTGTTCAAAATGGAAACCAAACTATTTCTTGGCCATCCTTTAAACTCATATTGGTAGGGAACAGAGGGTCTCTGCATGTGCTGAAGGAATAGGTCTCACTCCAGTCTTTCCAGGACTTAAGTCTTAGAAAACACACAGAGTAAGAAAACCCCCCAAAAACAATTTAAGTGGATGGAAGAAAATCTGATGAAATGGAAGCAGCCAAGTGTGTAGGGAATTGGAAACCTGAGTATATGCTAAGGTCCTGGCCGGGCGCAGTGGCTCACGCCTGTAATCCTAGCACTCAGGGAGACCCAGGCGGGCGGATTGCTCGAGGTCAGGAGTTCAAAACCAGCCTGAGCAAGAGTGAGACCTCGTCTCTACTATAAATAGAAAGAAATTAATTGGCCAACTAATATATATAGAAAAAATTAGCCGGGCATGGTGGCGCATGCCTGTAGTCCCAGCTACTTGGAGGCTGAGGCAGCAGGATTGCTTGAGCCCAGGAGTTTGAGGTTGCTGTGAGCTAGGCTGACGCCATGGCACTCACTCTAGCCTGGACAACCAAGTGAGACTCTGTCTCAAAAATAATAATAATAATAATTGTAGTTCATAGTTCATTTTACCTTTTTCAAACAATAAATTTGATCTATTTCTTTTGACAACTGGTATTTTGGGGGATCTAGTAAAACCCAAGGTTTTCAAGAATCACACCTTGATTCAGTTGTCAGGCGTAACATGTTTAAATTCCAACGGGACAAACTCACTGTCAACTGACACCCAATAGCAAACACCTGACCTCTGGGTCTCCCAGCATGTCTGCCTATTTCCACAGCATTCTCCCAGCCAACAGGGCCATGAAAGGTTGAGGTCACTAGTTTCCTTTTGAATATTAAAGTTGCATAATATTACGCATTTTTATTCATGCTATTTATAACATTGAACTCTATTATCCTTACCTCCATTGCCTTACCTAATCTCCATTGCATTATGGAGATTACTGATGATGGGAGACTACTGATCCCTACCCCAGGCAATCTGACTTCTAGGTCTGCATTTGGGACCTCTGTGCTTTTCTGCTCCAAAATGATTTTGTTTATGTAATAAAATAAAATAAAAAGAAATAGAAAAGGCAGATCAAAATGCTGGCTATACAACACTAGCACGAAAAGTATTGTGTCCATGTCTCTACCAGAAAACACCTTAGCAGTTTAACTGTGTTATCACCCATCAACCATCATCAGAAGAGAACCCTGGGACCTGGCATGTAGCAAGTGCTTCGTGGGAACAAATGGATGGGTGATTAAATAACTGAAAGTGAATTGCACTTGGCAGGGATGGATTTGAGCAAGTCAAGAATTCACCTGTGCATGCTTGCCGCAGGGAAACAGAGTCAGCCAGCTGCCTAGTTTTCAAGGGGACAGGTTATGTACAGGCACCAGCATCTGCTGATTACACACTCCAAGAGCAGGTAAATCCAGTCTGGAGATCTGGGTTATAGTTTCCTCTCTGCCTTTCAGTACCTCAGTTTACCTATCTAGATAGTGGTAGTCCTGCAATTTCAAGTTCCTTCTATGATAATCCAAGAAACAATGGATCTTATCTTGTAAGTGTTTTATATAAACCAAAAAGTATAGGAATAAGGTGGGAGAGGCAGCAATTCTGACAAGGTGTGTCCAGGGTAAACCCTATAGAGGAGCGCTTCTTAAGTTTAAACGTTCATTGGGATCTCCTGAGGATTTTGGTAAAATGCAGATCCTAAAATCATGGGTCTGGAGTGGGGCCTGAGATGAGTGATGCTAACAAGCTTCCAAGTGATGCTGATGCTGCTGGTCCTCGGACTACACTGTGAGTAGCAAGGGACTAGAAGGGCCCAAACTGCATCAGCAGTAGGCTGGAGGAGGACGTGGAGGGAGGTGCAGGAGATGGGGAGAATGGAAAGAAGGACGGAAAGATGGGAGCTGCTAGCAAGCAGAATCCAGGCGGGGAGGAGGGGATGTCTGGAAGAAGGGGGAGGCTGCGGGGCTGGAGCGCGGATGCGCAGACCGAGGCCGGGAGGCGGGGGTGCGGGCGCCTCCGCGGCTGCGCGGGCGCGTGCTGGTGGCGGTGGCGGCGGCAGCGGCTCAGTCCGGCCCGCGCCCGCGGCGCCCCCGCTGCGGCCCGAGCGGCCTGGCTGCGGGACTGGAGCGCAGCGATGGCGCGGCCGCCCCAGCAGCGCCTGCGGGCCTGGGCGCAGCTGCTCTTGCTGCTGCTGGCGGGGCCCGCTGCCTGTGTCGCCAGCCCCGCGGACGACGGCGCGGGCCCCGGGGGCCGGGGACCCAGGGGCCGCGCGCAGGGAGACGGGGGCGCAGACGAGGCGGTGCCGCGCCACGACTCCTCCTACGGCACCTTCGCGGGGGAGTTCTACGACCTGCGCTACCTGTCCGAGGAGGGTGAGGCTTCAGGAGGGGAGACCTGGGGTGGGGGACCGAGGAACGGGCACGGAGGAGAGGGTTGGTAAAGATGCCAATGGAGACAGCTATGGCTCTGCTCAGACCCCCGCAGGCCGGCTTGGGGGAAGGGCCCAACAGAGCTGTCAGTACCTGCCTGTCGCAGGTGGGGAGACTTTACCGGTGGGGAGACTGAAGCTGGTAGAGGAAGGGGTCACCCAAGCCCTGTGAGGCTGTGGACAGGGTGGGAGTGCTGAGCCTAAGCTCCCCCAGTTCTCAGTATCTGGCTTCCATCCTCCCTGCCAAGGTTGGGGGTGGTAGGGGACGGACGGACGAGGCCGCCGTCTGGCCTGGGGTGTGCGAGACAAGGGCAACCTAAGCAGAGATGTTGCTTTATTTCTTCCCTCTCTGTATTGACCTAATTTGCAGCGCCTGGAGTCCACCTCATAGCATTCCGTTCCTGCTCGCTGACCCGTCAGAGCTGGGTCACATCAGCCTTCCCACTCCCATCCCTCTTCTTTTCTGCCACACATGTCATGGTCCCCTAGTGTGAGCCACTGTTGTTGAGGCCTGCTGGGCCCAGAGACTGGGGATTTGTCAGCCTTGGACCTCCCTGTAGAGCTGCTTCAATAAGAACAAAAGCAAAGCTAATTCTGTTCAGAAGGAATGGAAACGCCTCTTCTGCAACTTTGGAAAATAGTGATTTTCCTTTTCTTCTGCTAAGAGGGATATCCAGCGATCAAGCTGGGGTTTGAAATGTGTGTCCCAGCAACTGATGTCTGTTAGTGAATGTATCTGTACTTAGGACCAGGTTCAACTATATACAACAAGCAAACATTAATAGCTTCAATAAGATAGAAGTTCTCTACCATGTAAAGAAATCTAGAAAAGGGCAATCCAGATCTGATGTGGAGCTCCATGGTCACCAGGGACCTTGGATCCTGCTCTTCTGCTTCTTCACAATTCTTAACATGTAACTTCATGGTCCAAAATGACTACCTGAGCTCTAGCTATTACATTCACATTCCAGATAATGGGGAAAGAGAAAGCAGGAAGGTCACTGACATATAAGGGGAATACTCAGAAGTTTTTATAACAATTCTTACACTTCATTGGCTGTAACTAAGTCATGTGGTCACATATAGGTACAAAGAATAATGGGAAGTATATGGCCTTTTAGCTGAGGCGTATTATGCCCAGTTCAAAAATTATAGTTAGTGTATGAAGGAAGGTAGAGAGAATGGAATTGGGATATATATTACTTAGGTAGAGACTTAACTACTGAAACAGAATACATTTGGAACATAGAGTGGCTTAAATAATATAGTAGGATACTATATTTTTGTCTCAGATAAGAATCTGGTTGGTCTGGGGCTGGTGGGGTAACTGTTCTGCAAAGTCATTCAGGTATCCAGATTCCTTCCATCTTGTTGCTCTACCATTCCCTAAGATTTTGTCCTCATTTGTGCAGTAGAAGCCAGGTTGTTTGCATGTCCTTGTTTAAGATTGAGGGAAGAAAAAAAAAGAAGTCCAGGGCAAGGAGTTGCCTTTTAGGCTGGCTTCACAAATCACTGGTGCTCATATTCCTTTGACAGAAACATAATTACATGACCTAGCTGCAAGGGAGGCTAGGAAATGTAGTCTTCTAGCTGGGCAGCCATGTGGCCAGGGAGAAGGAGAAATGGGGGTGGGGTAAGAGGACAAGAAGCAGAAGCAGAATCTGTCATTCTGGAAAATAAGTATTCCAAAGCCCATCTGTTTCTGAAAGCATCTAATGCATATTCATTCTGTACCCAGTCAGCCTAGGTGACGTAAATGTGGCATACAGGAGCTTATGTTCTGATTGGGCACATGTATTTGACAAATAAAGGACAAGGTCAGATTCTATATGTCAGCTTGTCCATACAGAAAGCATGTAATGTTCATCATATAGTCCAATTTTATGAACATGGATATCAGGTGGGCTGCAGCCATCCAGGACAGCGTCACAGAGTCAAGCTAGGAAGTATGAAAGACTTTAGTGAGACAGAAGAGGGAGGGCATTTTGGGGAGATGACTGCTCCGAGGGTGGCAGGGTTTTCAATATGTATGCAAATCCCTAATGTATCTCCTTCCCGCCCCCCCCCCACCACCGCCATTCTGCACTTAAAACCAACTTAACCTTCCTAAAGCCCTCCTCTAACCCTATTGGTGTTGCACTCAAAAATCCTGTGCTGCTCCCTGGATGAAACTTCAACTCCTTTATCTGAAATCTTCTCCCTGGCCCAACTTCCTTTTATAACCATCTCTCCCCTCCCCTTCCCACCCCCTGAGCTTACACTCTCCATTCTTCTCCTACCCTCTTCTTTCGGACAGTTTCTCTTCCTCTTCAGATACAGATTCTACTACCCTCTGCTGGGTGCTAGTGGAGTGTTTGGGGGACGGGCCTGTCTGAGGCAGCACCTCTGCTAGAATTCCCTGGACCTGGGCTTTAGCCCCATGGGTGCCTCAATAGGGACTTTTGCAAGATGCTTAGAGATCATCAGTGACACAGCCTTCAAAGGGGACTGAGGAGGGGCTGCCAGAGAGAGAGAAGCGGAAACAGGAAAAGAGGGGTGTCCCATACCAAGGTGAGCCTGTTAGCAGGAAGACTCCAGATATTCAATGGATTCAGGAGAGGTAAGGTAATGGTGAACTTTCCTAGGCAGGGTTCAGTGGAGAAGGAAGGAGGAAGCTTGATTGACCTTGGAAGAAATGGCAAGTGAAGAGGTAGAAATATTGGCTTTCTTTCTATCAAGACAATTGGGTTGTCCTTTTCTAGAGATTGGGCTGCTTGTTTCCTGTTGCAGGGTATGCATTTCTCGTGTTCCAAGTTGCCAAGAAATGGGGGTTTTTGATGAAAAGGTGGCCTGATAATATAAAGTCAGAATAATGGAGGTGGGGATAGGGGTTTCCCTGAAACTGTTGGGGAGCCCACTGACCATCACCTACCCTGTCCAGAGACTGTTTGCCCAGTGTGCAGAGTTGTCTACAACCCCCAAATCCAGAAGGTGGACCCTGGCTAATTTGGTTTCTAAAAAAAAAAAAATCACTCCCTAATTTTTTTTTTTTAAATTTAAATTCTGTTTTGGCTTAACTGTGCTAATTTTCAGAATTCTTGGAGTGCCCACTGTCTCAGCCTATACTATTCATCCTTACAGTCTCAGCTCAAGTCCCCTCTCTTTCAGGAAGCCATCCCTGATTTTCTCTTCCTCTCATCACCTGCCACTAGGCAAGGATATTCTCTCACAACATCCTTTCTAACCCTGCCATGATCCTCTGTTCTCTGTGGTTGGGAGTTGAGATAGCGTCTTGGTGCTTGAATCCTATCACTCATACCTCTTTCCCTTGAGGTTCCCAACCCAGAATCTATATAGTCAGAACAACCATAGAATGTGAAACAGGTTACCATTTGGCTATGGGAAAATACCTTATTTTGAGGGTTCTCTGAAAAAAGAACAACTGAGTTGAGTGTTGGCTTGGGGTTAAGTCCCAAGTAAAGCCTCCTGCTTCCTTCTCCCTGCTGCTGAGATGGCCATGTTTGAGGAACAGACCTTGAGTCTTAACCCAGCCAGCTGAGTGGATGATGCTAGCTGGCTTGCTCTCGGAGCCGTACCCAGCCTAGAAGTGAAAAGACAGAACGCCATTTACGGTTGCTTATCTTAAAGGCATAATGATATGACCACTTGTAAAAGGTTGCCAAATCAATGATTTTCTGACCATAGAGTTCTGATCACAATTTTTCCTGTCTTGGGAAAGGGCTAGTAAGGAGGTAGAGAGGAGGACAGAACATGGGGCAAAGGCTAGAAGTTTCTTCGGCTGCCTGAATCCTTCCTACATCTACCATGTATGGTATGTGGATATGTAACTCTACACCCTACTAATCTGGACGTTCTTTAAAGTTAACAATGTACATCTAATTTATCTTTGTATCCTCCGTTACTCTAGCTTGATAGTAATGCTGATGAGAGAGTCAACTTTGAATACATGCTCATTGGTGCCAGGCAGTGTTCTAAGGTCCCGTATTTGTATTAGCTTTAATACTTACAGTAATACTGTGAGTTAAATATTATTATTATCTTCATTTTAGAGTTAAAGAAACTGACCAACTGAAAATTTAAATATCTTAGCTAAAGTTGCCCAGCTGGAAAGTAGCAGAGAACTGTGTGGATTTGTTGATTGACTTCATGGATAAGGTGTATAAGATATCTTGCCTGCTTGGAGTGGACATGCACTAGGAAATGGATTTATAGGCAGAAGCAGGTATTTTTACATGTGAACTTGAGAAGAGGGGTTTGGAATTGATATGGTTAGGGGCTGTAGGTTCCTAAGCAGTGGAGTGTCACCATGAAGCCTGCATTCATATGTGTATGGAACTTTACACTTTACAAAGTCCCTCGGCACTTCTTTATATGACTTTGAAAAGAGGAGAAACAACTGATCAGGCAGTCCAGGATGAGGCTGATACAGTGGTTCCGAGAGATGAAACTGAATGGTGTGGCCAGTTTCTGGTTAAAGCTTCAAGGAATCAAGTATTAAAATTTTTTTTTTTTTTTTTTGAGACAGAGTCTCGGTCTGTTGCCCAGGCTAGAGTGCTGTGGCATAAGCCTAGCTCACAGCAACCTCAAACTCCTGGGCTCAAGCGACCCTCCTGTCTCAGCCTCCTGAGTAGCTGGGACTATAGGCATGCACTGCCATGCCCAGCTAATTTTTTCTATGTATTTTTAGTTGTCCAGCTAATTTCTTTCTATTTTTTTTGAGTAGAGACAGGGTCTCGCTCTTGCTTAGGCTGGTCTCAAACTCCTGAGCTCAAACGAGCCGCCTGCCTTGGCCTCCCAGAGTGCTAGGATTACAGGCATGAGCCACTGTGCCCTGCCTCAAGTACTAACTTAATACCTGAACATTGTGATCCAAGTAGTTAATTAGAAGCAATAAATAGTAAGGCAGAAGCCATTAGCCACCCAGTAGAGTATGGCAAAATAGGC